CCTGCACGCCCGAGACGGCAGAGCTCCAGGCTGCGTTAATTGGCGCGAAAAGGGACACCCAGCGCACTATCGCAGGGTTTCCAAAGCGCCGCGACGTAAACGGTGCGGAGGTGAAAACCGTCCCAGACGTCCAGATTAAGCCGGTGTGTTGCGCTCTCGGCTAGTATATATACAGTAATCTATGGCTCTCGGCTACGTTGCCCAAACCCCGCACCATCTTCGGTGCTTCCTTCTGCGCCTGAAACCGCCACCAAGCACACCTCCGTCAGCAGGGTCTCTACGCAAGCTACTACACTCTACGCAAGGCAGTAGCACTCCCTCGCCTTCCGCGCCGAAACCCAATGCGTGGGTAAAGCCTACTTCACTATTCGCCTCGCAGTCATTACCGCCGCCTCAGGTCCCTAAGCCTAAGCTAGCCCCACAAGGTTCTTTCCACTACTATCTAGTCTGCGGCTTCATCAGCAACACCAACGTCGATGAATTATCCTCCTTCGTCCGAAAACTATGCAGAGCAACGACGCCTCAGGACAAGCTTATGGATTGAGGACATATGACTAATTGATGCTACCTGGACTTTCCAGTGCACATAAACACCGTTTTTTAAAACCCATAATGGCTGTACAACCGTCAGGTAGAATTAAAAAACAAGCACAAAAAACAGCACATTCACAGAAACTAGAAGAAAACTAGAAGAAGGATCTACACCGCCCTCAAACGCTAAAATCACAAAAATAGCTTTTTGCGGGTTGAATCCTTTTCTAGATATGTGAAAAAGCAAACAAGGTCATCTTAAAATGATTTTCAGACGTAAATTACAAACTTTTTATGTAGCGATCGCTACCAAGCTATTTCTCTCTCTCTTATTTTTTTGTAAAACTGGTCCCGTTGGGTTTCTTGCTGGTTCTTCCCAGGACAGAGGTATTTTTGCGAACCAGTGGTAAATGAAAAAAGTGACTTTCAATAAGTATTATTCATGTATATTGCATAAAATAGTTTCTGTTTCTGTTTCTAGAGCTTACTGTGCATAATTTTGAGATTTTGTGTTTGTCTTCTTATTTTGTGACTCGGCTTTAACTTTTTGGACTGTTTCTTCTATAATAACTTTTTGTACGTGGTAGAGCCACGCTACGTAAAAGTCGTAGAGCATGCTAATGGGTCGGCTCAACCCTTCCCAGGGCTTATTATCATCCATAAATTCATTAATATTAAAATAACCCTTTTCATACAAACTTAGTTTAATAAAGTTTTTGAACTATGTGTACTTACGTCAAATTTTGTATATTTTCTGGCATTTTGTTATAAAAGCGTAAACATCGCCTCAAAAATTAATTATTGATTCTGTGGAGTCGAGTAACTGGCGGGATACTGAAATTATGTAGTGGTTATTTTAGCACGGCCTTGTATATGACTTTTTTTGCCTACAAAAATTTACTTTGACAAAGTGAAAAAATAAACTGGTTTTATTCATGATTCATGTAATTTAAGGAATTTTGAAAATAAAAATTAAATTAAAGAAATAACACATTAAAGAAATTAATGATTCCATTATTAGAATATTTTTACCGATTATTTAATTATTTTGCCGATTATTCGCATAACAATGAATTTTAATCATCCAAACACTACAGTAATATACATAGCGACATGTCATTGAAACAACGTCAAGTTAAAAAAAAGTTAATGCTGGTTATTTTTTTCATATTTTTCTTTATTTGAAAAATTCAAATTTAAATTAGTGATAAAAAACTATACACGCTGTAATGAAATATGGATAACCTCATAATTCTTCGAATTTACGTAAAAGGTTATTTTAAATCGTGTGAGTACGCTTGTGCAAAGTTATTGCGGAATGATTAATGTGAAACGTCAAAAGGTATTTCTTAGATTTGGTTGACTATAAGCAGATGTAACGCTGTCACACCAACACATTCGACGTCAGTCATTGTTGAGAGTTGATCAATAAAGAAGTATGAAGGCTGAGTGTGAACACCCACTCGCGTCGTTATTGTCGCAAAAGTATTTAGGGAAATATTTCCGGCAGCGACAGGAGTAGTAGCAGTGGCTGAGTGTAAATAGGGCATAATAGGCTGTTAAATGGATGGAAAGATGAGGATTATATAAAAACATCCGATAGCGCTTGTTATACTCGTATCGCGACACTTTTACTTATCAAAATCCACTTCTATCTTTAGACTAGGTATAAGCTTCGAAATATTATTTTAACGATAACAGGAGTACGAAATGTCAATATGTGAATATAAATAATTATTATATTAATGGAAGTCAGGTCACTTAACCACGAACAATAAAATTAACAAATTTCTACTGCTATATTTATTTTAACTTAAATAAAACTTTTGTAAGAGTTTTGGCGGGAACTTGACTGTCGGTGGATTTTTTCCCCTGTTATGTGTGGATTTGAGTGCCCCGTTGGTTTTGTGATCGCAAGCACGTATGCTGATCATGCGGTCCCGAGGCTCACGTGGTCTCGTGTGGTCTCGTCACATCGTGTCACATAAACATAATATCATCACATAAACATATTATTGTGAAAAATGTATGTGTACTTTTATTCGCGAATTTTAAAGTTAATTGGATATCTATAAATTATGGTTGCCGCCGCCATTCAAAGAAGTGAATGTTAATGGAGAAAATAATTATTACTTTAGGTAAGAGAAAACAATATTTGTGACATAATGCAGGTTTATTTTCTTAGTTAGTTTTTAAATCTGTCGCACCCTTCATGAACAGACACCGTCAGGCAAACTATAAAGTGCATTTGAATTTTTAAGTGCGATCACATTAGCTGCGCGATAGCAATTGTTTAGGAAAAAAACTAGTTTATGCTTCGTGAGGTTCATTTAACAATTGAGTTTTTCATTATAACACAAAACACATTACATTTTTACCATAACGTGAAGCAACAAAATTTCGAACAATTTTGGCGTTAAAAACTGTTGCCTGGGTGGTGTCTGCCACGCTACGTGCTGGTAGATCTGAACGGAGCTTTATATGTGTAGAGTATTAGTATATTGGTCAGCTAAGCAATGGTGCAGCTATGTTATTATGGTTGTAGCACGAATGGGTTGGTTCGACCGGGGTGGGATCACGCTCCCACAGAATTACCAGCGTAAAATAGCAGTTTATTTCTGCTGTGTTTCGTATAGTTAGAGTAAACAATCGGAGATCCTTTTTACGGGAAACAAGGAATTCCATCTTAGTCCTCAAGAGTAACAACGCATCTGTATTTTGATACTTAGACGAGGATAAATATTATGTATATTGGCCACAGCATCTACTTACCATTAGGTGGACTGTGTGTTCATTTGTGGCCCTAATTCTATTAAAAAAAGTGATTTCTTTCCAAGTTATCATTCTGACTGGCACATGACAGTATATCAGTGTGGCCTTAGTTGCAACTGCAAGTACCCATTTGTTATGCATTGAATTAAAAAAGTTGTCTATACACAAAATTAGTATTCATATTGTTAACTATCTAAAAACAAAGTATTATTAATATTACGCAATAAGCTGTCGTGCTGAAACCGGTAACGGCTAGATACAGTTCATATACACGAAGCGATAAACGTTTTAATTTAGTTGCATGTGGCGCTCATAAAACTTGCAATCCAATTACATATATATTTTATAAAAAAATAGCTTCCATTGAGTAAAAATGCAAATTATAGCAATATTATCGATAGTCCTTACTGTTATAAAATTGTCAATATCAAATTGTTACTGGAGCGAAAATTGTCACTATAAATTTTTTTCAAGCAAAACACCATACCAGTTTGTCAGGGGAGATATCAGAGATTCAATTGTTAAAATAAAAGGTAAGTAATTTCGATTTTTTTTTGTTTTTTTTCGGTAACTCATCAATAAAATTTAAATAGCTAAATCACGTAAGCTTGTTATTTAACGTGTTCATAATATCGATAGGATGTGACGTAATTAGTGTCTGGAGTTTAATAAGACATGGAAAAAGAAACCCAGGTATTGATTTTGTACAGAACATGCTAGATGCGACAACAATGAAATACGCTGTCAAATTGAACCATGAAAATGGTAAAGGCTCTATGTGTGCTCAAGATGTAGAAAATTTATATAATTGGGAAGCAGATCTTAATATGTTTAAAAATGTCCACCATATTGCTGCTGAAGGCTACGAAGAAATGTTTGGTATAGGATATAGAATAAAAAAAGCATTTACAGGCTTACTTATGTCCTTGGATGATAGAGATTACAAGCTACGTTCAGCATATGGAGCTTGGATAGAAAACGGGGTAAAAGGATTTGTGGAAGGTTTCGGAAAACGTCAATGATAATTGAAAAATCAAACCCAATCTATGACATAATAGCTGTAAGTACAAAAATACAAATAAAAACGTTTTTCAAGTTACTAACTTATTTGCGTTGTCGTCATTCATATTTTACTTATTAAATTATAGCCCTATGAAGCTTGTAGTTTCTACGTAAAGAAAGTGAAACATAATAAAGAAACATATACAGAAGCAAATAAGTATCAAAATACATCAGAGTATCTTGCAGTAAGTTTTCCTTGATTGTTTTTTTATTTCTACATACGTCCTTTTAGAAAACTCAAGTTTAGTTTTCAATGATCATTTAAGATAAAATAATATTATGATTTAAAAATTAATTATAGATATTTCCATTTTCCTTGAACACGCAGCGTATGGATATTTATATCCTAATTATCCTATAATACATTCTAGGTAAAAAACAGAATACAACAGCGAACGGGCATTAATTATACGTTGACAAACGAGAATATAACAGCCTTATATGATTTATGCCGCTATACCTCCTCAGGAATAAATAACGTGTTTAGTCCTTGGTGCGCGATTTTTAATAAAGAAGACTTACAAGCTGTAGAGTACGTAGGCGACTTGAGGCATTTTTATAGAAATAGTTATGGTAATCCAATCAATAAAATATTTGGACGAATTCCCCTAGCAGACTTGCTAGAAAGTTTTAATATGGCAAAAAATGGAAAAGGAAAGAAGCTTACGGTTTATTTCTCTCACGCTACCATGATGGATATGGTATACTCTGCCCTTGGATTATTTATTGATGACATACCTCTACGTAGTGATTTTAGGAATTCTGAGAGGAAGTGGAGATCATCAAAAACGTCTTGTTTTGCCGCCAATTTAATAGCAACTTTAAACAGGTTTGTAATTATATAAAGATGGTTCTAAATATTTCACTCACAATTATTCATTTTATTATTATATTTTATATAGCACAGTGTTAATTTATCATTACTATTCCGGCATTATTTTTTAAATTAATCTTTATTACATATCTTACAATAACATCAGGTCGGGTATAGTGATCAAACACTATCTTTAAGTATCAAGTAATAATTAAACGCCGTAAAATTTTTACCGCCCCATTTCGCCACGTCCTAGTCGTAAGTGGTAACTATGGAATATATAATGTTAACTATAGATAGCAATATATCCATCTTGTTTATGCCAAACCTTAAATACACAGACCGACGAAGGGCAGTGGCGTTGAAGGTGCGAGATATCTGGTATTTCGATGGTCAATCGGTCTCTCAAGCATAACGATTGTCCAGCATGTCCAGCGAAGGACCTATGCGGAAAGGGTCACAGATTTGACAGAGTTTTGTGCGATTCATTGATGAGTTCATGACATTGCGAAACCGCGTGCGGATTCACTAGCTACTGTGAGATTTCAGATCTTATATTTTATCAAATGGATGATCCCATAGAGTTGCGGAATCCCACTTTACTACATTGCAACCCCTCTGAGATACAAGAGCGAGATAAAATTTAGACGGACTGAGCCTATGTGTTGTTGAATATTAACAAAATTTCTTAACCAGCTAACTTGGTTTGTATGTCGCTCTATAAGTAGGAGTCTATACAGTAGCAGATAGTTTTAATATTATTTTTTTTTTCAATTTTATATGAGTATCTTTATCTTTTTAACTTTATACATGGTAGAGCCATGCTACAGCTATATTATAGGTATCTTAAACAAGCCTTTCCCAAGGAAAGAAATAGATGTTCCCTTTCCTAAAAGATGTAGATGTCTGTGGGCCACAGCACCCATTTACCATCAGGTGGACTGTGTATTTGTTTGTCACTCTTATTCTATAAAAAAGAAGTTATTGGAAATTTCTTAAGAAATTACCCACGTTTCAGGAAAGCACGTTAAATGGTCATCCGCCTGATCTCTCTCCAGTCGTGTCAGATTGCCTTCCCTTGAGAGTGGGGGAATAGGCAATTAAACTGTGTTTGCGCATTAACTTGTGCACTATAATACTTTCCTGCGCAAATGGCTGCTCTCCGATGAGTCTTGACACCGTGAAAAAATTCGGATAAATATAGATTAACAAAAATCTGTCATTCTTTCACCCAGAATAGGAGTTTATAAACGCTTCATAAATTGTTTATTCTACAACTACTATACAAAAACCTCCCGTCGCAGAAAACATATTCAAAACACAGAAGTTAACAGAAGGTCTACGATACCAATTATAAAGCTTTATACAAATATATTATATTACATTGTAATAAACAGTCGTACTACATATACGTTACACATTTATCTGAATAAATAAATGATCAATTGTTTAATTTTATTCTAGATGTTCAAATGGCGAGTCGACAGATTATAACGTCGTATTTTATATGAACGAAGAACCTTTAAAATCGATCTGTAACGAAGGCGTTTGTTCGTGGAGAGACTTTGAAATAAAACTAAAACCTTTTATTAATACTACTATGGACTTTTGTTAGAATGTAAAATATTTTTCGTAATATTGAACAAAATATTTTATAATAAATAAGACCGATTTTAATTATATATGAATGTATGCAATCGGACGAAATTCCTAATTGCGGCATAGAAGTGCGTTGAAAGTTGTAATTTTTTAAAATTTTATTTTATTTTATAGTCATGTTAATAATTTCATTATTTATTTGTCAGTGGGTTTCTTATACACAGGTTAGTTATAGCATCGCATTGGTTAATGTAAGTGTAATGATGTTATAATTATGTATTAATTAAATATTTCCGACACCCCTCCTGATATTAAAATAGCTGCCAACCTCCCAACTAGTTTGTTTTTAAAAATAAACTCCGTAAGCATGTGAAAAAACCTTTGCATGTTTGAACTAACCAAAGACCTCTCTATGGAATTAACCCAGCTCTTATTTTTACATATATTTCATATTTGTTTTTACGTAGATAATATTTTTATGTAATATGTATATATATTTATGTTGATATAATATGTATATATTGCTATCTTTGTTTAGTCTAATGGTTACTGGTAGAGAATGTCCTATGGCATTAAGTCCGCCTTTATGTACTACTTTATGCATGAAAGTATAAAGAAATAAATATTTACCGTATACGTAGGGAAAACAATATGCACATTAAACTTTACATAATATACCACATTTGTTTGCACTCGTTGAAACAACGTTATACATAAAACAGTTAAATTAATAACATATACATGGTGATTGGTGGCCATGAACGATTTATTACCACAAAGATAAAAAATATCATGCATAGAATGAATAGAAGCATGGGTAATAATTACAGAGCCTCTATGAAGCCTCTATATAAGCCATTGGGAATGGCAACGTTATTTTGGTCTGTAAAATTAAGTTAAAATCTAAAAATAAACCTTCGAATATATAAAATAAAGCAAAACATTCTTTTGTTCACGTGCTCATGTAAGGTAAAGTCAACTTTTTCAACGAGTACCAGCGTCAGTTAAAATCTTCAAACACCTGTAGAACATATAGGATAGAATGTACTAAAAATAGAAACTACTTTATTTTATTACACATTAAATGTTCTTAAGGGCTTATTTATAATTCAGTACAATTGATTATGTTTTACTTTTCTTAACAGCAAACACTAATTACTACTACAAAAATTACTTTTTTTAAATCATCCACAGTTGAAACAAAAACGGACAAGATCTTCAATGAAATAAACCCCTCATACAAATAATTTGTCGGCTTCTACTTAACCATAACGAGCAAACTAAACTAATAAATTTTATACAAGTCATAGTTGATGAAGCTCATAAAAAATTTGAAAATAGCCGCCATTGTTCCCTTTAAATGAATTTACTGTGTGTGTATGCTATAATTTGGTATGTTAAATCACACTATCACTATCACTATCACAACAGCTCATCACAAGTCCACTGCTGAACGTAGACCTCCCCGTAGATTTCCCACTAAATACAGTCTTGAGTCACCTGCATCCATAGACTACCAGCTTTTTTCATCAGGTCGTCACTACCAATGGAAATCGACCTACACATTGCTGTCCAGTAGGAGGCTGCCATTCGATTTTATACAATAAATAGGTAATGATTATGAAGATGAATTGAATGACTTCTGTTAAATTTGTATTATAAATTAATACAGGTATTACAACATTATTTATAACGAGCTTTAGCTAATATAGCATTACTAATTTATTTATTTATTAAGGACAGCCAACAAATCTTAAACCAAAAACATTAAATTCTTAAGCTATTATCTAAGATTTAAGCTAAGTGCAGATTCAGTTACAGGCTGCCACGACATGCAAATGTGAGTGTTTAATGCTTATTTAAAAAGTAATAAAATATAACAAAAACTAAACTAATCCAAATTTATTCCGTACTCAAACTTGCACCTAGGATATTTTTTTTGAATTTAAAGAGGAATATAATTACTTGTATAAGGACAATTAGTCTTTTTCTGAACAAGTTTGCCTCACTTTTTTAATTTAAAATAAATTTTATTTATTATTTATTCGTCTTAAATTACAATTTTTATAAAATACGTGTATAGTTAGCAAATTGTTTTAAATAAAAAATTTAATCAAATATTTTATTAAAGGGACTTTAATCGAACCTGCAAAGTCAGGACCTCGGGTTTGTAGTGTCCAACTAATTAGAGCGTTATAATAACTAATCCTTATTATAACGCTGTAACACTTAGCGCTCTTTCTTGTTTTCAAGTTCACATCGTACATATATACATAAGAGATGCAAACCAGACTAGCTAATGTCTTAGCATTATTTTTCATTTAGTCATCACTTGGCTCCGATCGGGACATCAAGTCTTTCGTAGCTATATCGTACTTTGTATAAAAATTTAAATATTATTGCGTGTTCATTATGAAAATATTTTTTGTCATAACGATCTCAGTAATATCTAATCCATGTAATGCTTCTTTTTGTCATTGGAATAGTGGTTGTCCCTACAAATACTTTGGTTCTAAATCTTCATACGACTCAATCAGGGGCGATATAAGGGACTCAATATTAAAATTAAAAGGTGAGTTGCGTCGACTTCACTGAATTACATTTGCTCAATTCAAATACCCATTATTTCTTGTTACAGGATGCAAGCCTATTAGTATATGGGGTCTATTTAGGCATGGAAAAAGATATCCTTCAATGAATTTTGGGAGGAAAATGGAGGATGCGCTGGCTATAAGAGATTATATTATTTCAAGTTATGAAAAAGGACATAGTTCTCTTTGCGCACAAGATATAGAGGACTTGAGGAATTGGTCTATAGATGAAAAAATATTTAGTAATTATAACCATCTTACTCCGGAAGGTTATGAAGAATTGTTGGGGATTGGGAAACGGTTTAAAGAAGCTCTCCCGGCATTGTTGGAAAATTTAGAAAAGGATAGCTATATTTTTCGTCCAGCTTTTGGAATATGGATAGAAAATAGTGCAAAAGCGTTTGTAAAAGGGCTTAAAAGCAGAAACGTACATATTGATAACGCTCTATCTGAATCTGATGTTATGGCTGTAAGTATTTCAAAATTTTTTGCGCCATTTTTTTTTCAAAATAATAAAGTAGACTTTATGAAATTTAATTGTTCTGCTTCATTTTTCTATAGCTTGGGTAAGCCCCGTACGACCTATAACTTTTACAAAAATATTGGCTCCGGCTATGTTTTGAACCACTCGGTGACTCGGTTTTTCTGACATAAACTAAAACATATTATAAATATTTCAGCCCTATCTGACATGTGGAAAGTATCAAATGGATGTCCTAAGAAACCCGAATGTGTTTGCTGAGGCAGAAAAGTACAAAGCTAACCCGGACTATCTGTCTGTAAGTTTATAGTCAAAACACTATTCAAAGTATATTTTGATTAAGATTGAATCATGTTTTTGTATATTTTATGATACAAATGATGATCTAAAATTTAAGGATTTGTCGTATAGTTTTTTCCGTTTTATTATAAAGTACAATATTTCCGTTTGAAGAACTTTCTTGTTGTAAATTTGCTAAGTAGTTAAAAATTTATTATTGCAGTGAGCTAATAATTACACATGGCGGTCTAATTTACTGTAAACCTAAACTGTTGTATTGCATGAACAATATTTATTGCATATACCGTATACAAAGAGTCTTTGTATACTGTATTGTTCTGATTTTTCGATATAAAACTAACAAATAGTCTTTATATACTGTAGTGTCATGATTCTTCGATATTAATTTAAACTAACCTGCGTCTTTGACGAGGACGATAGACGCAGGTTAGTTAAAATTAATTTGTATAAATATTGTGTCCGACATACAAGTATCCTCCCGACTATATTCTCAATTTTATTTCTCTAAGAATTAGTAAGGAATTGGTGACAATTAGTGAGGAAATAAAAAATATTGACTGGATACTTAATGAGATAAATCCCTTTTTTCGTTGGCTGTATTCAATCTTCTGACTTGCGATTAATTGTGACATAACCATCGCATTAACGTAAGATTAACATGCCCAGACTGGCGATAGGAAGCAACGACAAACAGATTCTTCCTATAACTTTCCTACTAAGGCCGGAGTACGACGGTGGAAATAATTGAGATGATGAGGGACTGGAGACTGGATTCGTCGTTAATATAACTACTAAAAACCCTTTCCGTCAAAAACATGCGACAGTCTTGACTGTCTTTAAATTATCAGAGATTTGCTGAATAAAATCCTTTATTATAATTTATAGGATCTTGAGATAAAATAATAAACAAATTAGCCGAAGCATTCGCCGTTGTGATTATTAAATTAAAGAGTGCATAATTTTGATTTTAGAAATATAACACGGAAATAGTTTTATAGCACATTTTTAAGGGTATGTAAAAACCTGGAATCAAAATAAAAGCAAGGTTTTGGCAATGTGTGTACTTACTAAAATTGTATATGTATGAAGCAATGCTTAGTTTCAAAAACATCAATCTATTAATAGCTTCTCTTTCTCACAATATCCACATGTTATGTTTTGAATAAAAACTGTACAAAGTGGGTTATTACCATGGGTTATTATTAGGCATTAGGTGCTTGCTAGTATAATTCTATTACAATTCATAAAAAAATTATATATAATTAGTAAAATTTTAAGTTGCAAATATTTTCTCTGGGTTTCTTGTTGGTTTTTCGGGTAATTTACGAACCAGTGTAAGAAGAACCAATGTAGAGCCATGCTGCAGTTATATTAGTAGTATAGTTGTAGCACGAATGGGTCGGCTCGACCGGTGAAGATCCACGCTCTCACAGAATACCAGCGTAAAATAGTAGCTTAAATGCTGCTGTGTGTTATACTGGAAACAAGACATTCTATCTTAGTCCTCAAGGCTGACAACGCAACTGCATTTTGACTCGTAATTAAGGATAGATGTAGATGTCTATGGGCCACAGCAACCATTCAGGTGGACTGTGTGCTCGTTTGTCACCCTATCTTATATAAAAAAGAACTAACTATCAATATACGTAATGGTAATTTATATAGAATAATGACATAACATTTTATATTGTATATTTTATTCATAATTTTCAGGCTAAAGACAGAATACAACGAAGAAGCGGTATTGATTATATTCTCACCGACACAAACATCACAGCTTTATACGATCTCTGTCGCCATACATGGTCTGGAATCAAAAATAAGCTCAGCCCATGGTGTGCACTTTTTACTAAAGATGATTTGCAGGTTTTAGAATATATAGACGATTTAAAAGCTTACTATAAAAGCGGTTATGGATCACCTAAAAGTGAGGTATTTGGCCACATTCCATTAACGGACTTATTGAATAACTTCCGAAGAACTAAAGACGGCGGAAAAAAGAAGATCACAGCTTACTTTACGCATGCAACTATGTTAGAGATGGTTTATACAGCACTGGACTTATTTAAGGATAGTAAGCCTTTGAGCAGTGCCAATAGAGAACGTGAACGTAAATGGAGAACTAGTTTCATGGCCGCTTGCGCTGTGAATCTTGTTGCGGTTTTAAACAGGTTTGTCACTAACTTTTCTTAACTTTAAATGTGTACAAACTTGTGGGCGCTTAGTGATCGTAAATTCGACCGCATTGATTAATTTTTTTTGAGATGCACTCAACAGACTACTGAAAAAGGAACATTTGAAACCACACAAAAGTAAGAAGTAATTATTTGTAACCAACATTTTAAAACTATTTGACTACAGGCTGACTGTTTTACTACATACTATAATGTGATTGATATTGGCAGTATGAACATAAACAATAAATATTTTGTTTTATTAAATTTAATGTCTTTGCAAGACGTTTTATAGAGTAGTCGTAGAGGCACGCTGCAGCTACATTATGGTTGTGGCACGAATGGGTCGGCTTGACGGGGGAAAAACCACGCTCTCACAGAATACCAGCGTTAAATAGCAGCTTAATACTGCTGTGTTTCGTATGGTGAGTGTACAGATCTGGAGACCCTTTTTTACTGGAAACGAGGTATTCATCTTAGTCCTCAGGGGTGACAACGCATCTGTCGTTGTCGTCTTGTCATTCTGTTTCTTAATCGAGTATAAATGTATATGTCTATAGGCCACAGCATCCACTTACCATCAGGTGGACTGTGTGCTCATTCGTCACCCTAATTCTATATAAAAAAAAACAAATTATATATAAATTTTAGATTTCTGCACTACTTCCCTAAATGAATTTTAACCATGCCAAATGTCACTCTCCTCCGTGCGTGCAGTTAAATATGTAGATATAATTACTTATTTTCCATTTTTTATTTCTCAATAAACGAATATGTTAACTCAAAAAGGGGTATAATTGGTATCCACATTCTTGTCAAAAATAGGCCAATAAAATTAATAAGGCCAATATAATTCTTAGCGTCTGTCTACCTACTCTACTAGTTTATTTTTCTATTATATAAACTATTAGGTAATTGAACCAACTATTACCAAAGATTTTGTTCCTTTTAGTAGTAAAATTATAATTCGTCTATAAAAATATATGACGCCATTAAATTTTATTTCCATTACTAATAATCAATGCTCATAAAACACAATTCCAGCAAATGTCGCGGTGAATACCGATCTACACCGTCCTCAAATGCCAAAATCACATTAGTAGTTTATTTGGATTGAACCTTTTTCTAGATACGCAAGAGTTCAAGCAAGGTTATGTGAAAACAACTTTCAGGGCTAAATTATGGATATAAAATTTGAGCAGCACCCTTTATATACGTTATATGGAAGAATTTAATTTTATAAAGAATATAAGATAATTATTATAGCTATTATTGATACATTTTTTCATTGTCATATAAATGACAATGAAAAAATGTATTTGCTCATTAAAATTTAATTACGCTCAGTTTGTGTGAGTGACGTGAGAAATTATAAACTATTTACATAATTAGATTTGGTATTCGATTGATGTTATCTAAATTTAAGAATTTATTCAAATATTTACTGTATTGATCAACTGAAAAAAATAAAGTTTCTTTAAACAAATAATGTGATATACTGATCGAATATAATCTTATATCTTCGATCAGTATATCACATTAAGATAGAAAACAGCAAAACATTTTTCTAATAATGACTAATCGAAGGTAGCCATATTTATATACCAGGTGTTTTTGAAACGCTCCCGAAAACGAAGACAGATGATAGTACTAAGGGTACCTTTGATGATGGGTCAAGAACAAAATCGATCTCGATGAAAAAAAATATTTTTTTACAACGTTAATAAGCTTTATTCACATTAATGTTTCTAATAAGATGATTTTTTGTATAAAGGAGTATAAGTTTAATAAAAATTGGTATTTACTTTATATAATATGTACATATTTTGTATATATAAAATATACATGATTCAAAGTTATGGAGCAACGTCAATTTTTGTTTAGGAGTCCTAACAGGACCTAACCTAGTGACAAGAGACTAAGAAGTGCCTTAACATTCTTTTCCAACAAGTACATAATCTAAAGTTGTCACTGAGAAATATTATTTTTCTGTAAATTGTCATTATGCCCTATGATTTTAGAACTACAATTAAGTCAATGCAATGTTTATGATGATGTTGATGAACATGGGGGAACTGTTTTATTACAGATGCGTGGACAACGAAGTGAGCGACTACAATGTCGTCTTCTATTTAAATGAAGAACCTATTAGATCTATCTGTGCAGATGGAATTTGTACATGGAAGGAGTTTGAAGACAAATTGTCACCATTCTTAAATACAACTATTGATTTCTGCGAGTTTAAGTCTGAACCATATTAAATAATATTTATATTTCAATAAAATATAAATAGTTTAAAATATTTTTGTATGCTTCCTTATGCAACTTACAAGTCCTTATACATCTTGGTGTTTAAATTGTTAAATATTTAACAATTTAAACAACAAGTTGTTTTAATACTCTAAAAGCAAAAATTTGATTAGAAGTTTTTATCAAAAATACTTAAGAGGATAATTTTAATTATGGCATAATCGTAGAAGGTCCTTAGCATTATACTCAGTGACCTCAATAGCGCTTTCCCACGGATAGGTCTTAAGATAAATATGGACAAGGTAATCATCATAATATTCTATTTAATATCGATCATAATATTAAGCAAGTACATTTCTCACCTAAGCCAGTAGTTGTTGCGAGTACTATGCTCGAAGTTGTTGATGAGTATGTTTCCCTGTTAGGAAGAAAGGTTCTCGAGTGGCAGCATTGTATCGGTAGTGAGAAAAGTATAGGATCACCCCAAACAAATATACGACATGGTGAAAGAAGCAGGATAATCAACAAGTTTCTTGAATTAAACTTTTGATATTTTTGTAACAATCGAGACATTTCCTGACAGATAAAGCAGCGCATAGGATAATATATTTTGTTTCTTGTTTAAGTAAGGATTACAAACAAACACAGTTCACTTAGTGGTAAGTGGATGTTCTAACTTATAAATAAACACCCGTATCTATGCACGAATATCAATACAAACGCTGGCATATAATCTTTCAGCAAACAGATGAAATACCTGGTTATCAGTTAATAGTATCCGTTCTCGTCACTTAGATACCATATACACTGCAGTATGTTGCGATTTCACGTTGGTGAGCATAGTTTGTCTCAGGTAGAGCCGCCTCTTCGCAGCCATAATATGAATTAGCATTGCACTGCCAATGTAAAATCGTATAATACACTCGCATAAACCAAATGCAGAATGTTGCGTTTGGTTTATGCTTCTGAACACCAAAAAAAACTTTTTAAAAAGCAAGGTTTTTTTTTTCATAATCATTATGGGGTTCGTCCTGCAGCGGCAGAGTGGAGGTGGAGCAGTGAACTGTTGTGTCAGGCTAATTGAGTAAAATAAATAGAAAAACATAATGAAAAAAAGAAACATGCTTTATTTAATAAAAAAACATTTAAATATATTTTGTATATAATAAAATATAAAGATTAGTTAAGAAGTTAAAGTTACAGCCTCTTTGCGTCCTATTATTTGGCACGGGACTCCTCTCATTTCTGAGTGTATATGTATGTGTCTCGTGTATGTGTTTTGGTGGACTTCACATAAACAAGACTCCTTTCCCCTAGGCGTCCTTCATCATAGATAATACCTATGAACCTTTTTCTGTCGCTAATAGCAATACCTACTTGCGCCGCTGTGTTCCAGTCTGAAGGGTATACAGAGGAATTATATGTACAGGCTGTGAAGCATTCCATATTAGTCCTTAGATGTGACGACGCACATGTAACCTTCTTTGTTGGAAGTGGGCTGCGAGTGACTACTAACTGCAGTAGCAACTCACAATCAGAATGACAGTTAGTTTGTATATCACTTTGATTTTAAAGCAAAATATCTATGAAATATTTTATTTATTAGACATGGTCGATCTGATGCTGATCTCATTAATTTAGCGAGTTTTCGAGGGGTTGGATCTACAAATGATCATAAATACAGACTTCAAATAAATAGATAACACTACACACTGAGTAAAACTGTTTTTGTGGATTTTATGGCGTTAAATTTATTTCGTTTTTAATTCCCGACATTTCGGGTGCTTTACAGCACCCATGGGTGATCCCACGTGACCATGAGTCGAAGAAACCAAGGTTATTAGAACTTCTTAATGTCATCTGAATTCAATGACCTTAACTAATAAATGCGTCTTTGATTTCGAAAAAGATAAATAATTTTTTTTCCTTGTACTCACCTTGGTTACACCTATAAATCTGATCAGGTTTGTTCTTTGTTTTTTATAAATAAGATTATTTTAAAATAGAATTAGCCTAATTTTGCTAGCGTAGCAGTAGACATATATGTCAATTGAAATCTTTTTACGTGTATACAATATGTATCTATATGTTATAATAAATCTGTAGAAAAGTCGTGTTAAACTAAGGACACTAAAGGGCCTGTCTTTCTGTCTGTTTATTCACGATTCACATAAAATTACTGGACGGATTTTCAAGCTCGATTTTCGAAAATCGGGGTGAAATCAATAACATCCCTTTGAACATTTTCAATTTTCTTAACGGGGAGTTAAAAAAATTGTAGATATTTGAAACTCGCAAATATGCATTCGAACATTGCGGCGGTCTCATTCCTGCTCACAAAACATTATCTATGGTGTAATTCATTATCTATAGTATTTTATATGCACAGTGCACTGTGCACAGTCGTTAGCTCGTAATACGCTACTATTTTATTTTATAGCTACTATTTTACTTTTTTTTACTTTTAATAAGAGTTAAATAAAAGTTGTAAATATGATAGCCTTGAATATGATACATTATAAAATATGATATTTTCGCAAGAGCCTATTCATTTATATGCCCAGGTGAACTATGAAACCAGGATTGTAACAAAAATCTTAATATGTCTGAAAATTTGAAAGCCATCCTAATAAATGACAAACTTTTATTTAACTCTTATTAAAAGTAAAAAAAGTAAAATAGTAGCTATAAAATAAAATAGTAGCGTATTACGAGCTAACGACTGTGCACAGTGCACTGTGCATATAAAATACTATAGATAATGAATTACACCATAGATAATGTTTTGTGAGCAGGAATGAGACCGCCGCAATGTTCGAATGCATATTTGCGAGTTTCAAATATCTACAATTTTTTTAACTCCCCGTTAAGAAAATTGAAAATTTTCAAAGGGATGTTATTGGTTTCACCCCGATTTTCGAAAATCGAGCTTGAAAATCCGTCCAGTAGTTTTATGTGAATCGTGAATAAATAGACAGACAGACAGGCCCTTTAGTGTCCTTAGTTTAACACGACTTTTCTACAGATTTATTATAACATATAGATACATATTGTATGCACGTAAAAAGATTTCAATTGACATATATGTCTACTGCTACGCTAGCAAAATTAGGCTAATTCTATTTTAAAATAATCCTATTTATAAAAAATAAAGAACAAATCTGATCTGATTTAGAGGTGTAACCAAGGTGAGTAAAAGGAAAAAAAATATTTATCTTTTTCGAAATCAAAGCCGCATTTATTAGTTAAGGTCATTGAATTCAGATGACATTAAGAAGTTAAAGTGGATAAGTGACTTGTGACATGAACATTTTCAATTAGGTGTGGAGTAATTTTATTTAGGATATTACAATATTAATGGCTTATCTTCTCAATTAGCTAATAACCTTGGTTTCTTCTACTCATGGTCACGTGGGAGCACCCATGGGTGCTGGAAAGCACCCGAAATGTCGGAAATTAAAAACGAAATAAATTTAATCCATAAAAACAGTTTTACTCAGTGTGTAGTGTTATCTATTTATTTGAAGTCTTTATTTATGATCATTTGTAGATCCAACCCCTCGAAAACTCGCTAAATTAATGAGATCAGCATCAGATCGACCATGTCTAATAAATAAAATATTTCATGGATATTTTGCTTTAAAATCAAAGTGATATACAAACTAACTGTCATTCTGATTGTAAGTTGCTACTGCAGTTAATGGTCACTCGCAGCCAACTTCCAACAAAGAAGGTTACATGTGCTTCGTCACATCTAAGGACTAATATGGAATGCTTCGCAGCCTGTACATATAATTCCTCTGTATACCCTTCAGACTGGAACACAGCGGCGCAAGTAGGTATTGCTATTAGCGACAGAAAAAGGTATAGGTATTTCTTGATGAAGGAGTAGGGAAAAGAAGTCTTTTTATGTGAGTCATACACGAGACACATACATATACACTCAGAAATGAGAGGAGTCCCGTGCCAAATAATAGGACGCAAAGAGGCTGTAATCTTTCACTTCTTAACTAATCTTTATATTTTGTTACATACAAAAAATATTTAAATGTTTTTTTTTTATTAAATAAAGCATGTTTCTTTTTTTCATTTTGTTTTTCTATTTATTTTACTCAATTAGCCTGTCACAACAGATCACTGCTCCACCTCCACTCTGCCGCTGCAGGACGAACCCCATAATGATTATAAAAAAAAAAAAGCTTGCTGCTAAACTTGTGTATTTTATGACTTGTGTATATATATACGTATATATATATATATATATATATATATATATATATATATATATATATATATATATATAGGAAGAAATACTCATATGATACTATACGAGATAGAATTTTGAAAAAGCCGGTAACCGGAACTTAGAATAAATACATATATAGCGAATCGATCCAAAGGAAAATTTCATACCACTCAACCTTGAACGAATACTCAACCATCGGCTCATCCAATTTAGACCAAAGAGCAATATTAGATCCACGTCGACACCACTCATAGTTAATTGCCATTGGAAGTGTCAGTTTACCACATTCTCAGCGGTTAAAGTATACATCGCTAGGAAATCTGTATACGATTGGAAACTGTAGCTTTTTATTATTTGAGCTATTATCAGGAAGATGCTAACCCAACTTCTGTTTCAGTTTCCCTCCGCCGCCTGTTACGATACTCGCCAGGGGACGATATGAAGTAGTGGATTCTCTTTCGACACCACTAGAAGGTGAACATTTTATGTTTTTCCATTCGCGTTCATGAACGTAATTCTTGAATTCGTAAATGGCAGTTCACGGTAAACGTGAGAGGTATTATAAAATTATAATATATACATAAGTATGTTATTTTGCAAATTGTGCTATTTAATATACAACGGGGACAATGATGGAAATCAAATGTCGCCAATAAACACTATGCCGTAAATTAATAGATAATAGCGAATAAGACCATGAAATTTAACCCTCAAACCCTACAGTGCTTGGCGTATACAGTATTCCCACACAGGGGTAACAAGATA